ATATTAAAATCATATAAAGTACCTTGATAATACCCTTAGTGCCAACAATAGTGGCCTCATTCTCGAGGGTAAGCATAGAGTGGCAGGAAATGGATGCCGTCTTCTGGTTCTTATACTGAAGAGCGGCCGCGAAGTCAAAGTCGACACCGTTTTTGTTGAGATGTCCGACGGCCTCAACCTTTTCGGGCACTTCTCCGCCGAACACCTGCTCCACAATATTGATGGCATAGACGCCGACGTCGAGTACAGTCCCGCCGCCCAACTCTTTGGTCGCCACACGTATGACATCGGCGTTGGGAAAGCCCAGGTTTGCCGTCACGTGTAGGACATCACCGATTGTGCCCTTTGCCAGCTCTTGGAAGGCGAACTCGTACGAGGGTAGAAATCGTGACCATAGTGCTTCCATCGCAAACAACTTCTTGGATTTGGCCAAAGCGAACAGTTCCTCGTTCTCTACATTCATGATTTTAGTGGCGGATAATTATAGCGACAGTTGACTGTATTGTAGTTTGTTTTGATCGTTACGTACGTTTAGTATTGATAGTGAGAGGCTTTTCCACCAGTATATGTTTGATGGTCAGTTGTCTTCATACTCATGACTGAGTCGACAAAGTCGTGGCACATTTTGCTTGCGCTATAAATACACCATTTTGTGGCCATTATTTCACTGTTGGTTTACTATTGATTGTTTGAAATAAACTTTTTTTAAGCATAACTTTAATTTATTTAATTTTTTTAATTGAATGATTTTTATGGTAAGTTTGTATTGCTTTTATACTTTAAAAATGATATGAATATATCAATAGTGGAAATGATTTAAACAAATAATAATGTGTTTATTAATTTGTGTCTAATCTATAAGCTTAAGGTAAATACGGTTCACATCCGGCCTATTATCGGGACCCCGAGCGGGCAAATCGGACCGCATTTTACATATTTAATAGTCTATTGTCTGCCGACTGGTCGCCTATTGAGGGCCTGAAGAAGGATAACATTATTTTACATCAAACCACAAACACAGCTCTGGGCAAACATTTCTCGGGCTTTTATAACTATGCCATTTGGGGCGACCGTAAGATTGTGGACATATGGAAAGCAATAAACACGTACTGTACGGCGGCCGTACATTGGCTGTCCATTACGTCGTTCAACGAATGGCACGAGGGATCGATGTTAGAGCCCGCCTCTCACAGCCCGCCCTCTGGTATTGATTACCTGTCATATAACGGCGCTTACGGTAAGACTGGGAACGCATCCGAGAACTCATATTTGGAAAGAACTGCCCATTGGATCAGTGAATGGACTAAACAAGTGTAAAATTATTATCTTAAAAATATAGAAATATTATTATGATAATTTAACACGCAACATTTTTATCATAATCTTAATTAAACTTTTAATTATGATTTTTATTATATCATTAATCATTGTTAACTTATTTATAGTTAATCTGTAGTTTATAGAATAAATAAAAGTAATTTTATATAAATGTATTTTATTTTACAAAAACAATACATTTTACTAATGTTATACAAATATACTATTTTATTACAGTTTCTTTAATATTTTAGTTTACAATATGCTGTATAAACTGTATATATCTGTTTTAAATGATATCAACCATTTCTTTGCCAATACATTGCTCGCAATACTGTCTCCCGAAACGGCATTTCGTCACAAAATGTATGCGAAGATTATGTTTGCGATTATCAGTCGGTATATTAAAATTGTATTTTTTTAATGCCCGGAAAGCTTCGACTAAAATACTATCAGGTGTTCGGACAGACAGTTGTCTCGATTCCGATAATTCATCCAAATTATTCACACGACAACCCTTACTATCTTTACGGCACACACTTTCAAGCGATTGATACAACAGGCGCTTAGTGTCAAGACAGACATACGCGATGTTACCACCACCCATATACACGGCCCATATGGTCAGACTGTTCCTACCGATGCCCACAATTTGGATAATATCGCCGTCCGTTGCCTTCAAATCGGTGTAATCGGTAAAAGTCATGTTATAGAAGGGACGGTCGATTGAGGCGACCACGACGTCGTCAGTCGGCTGTTCATAAGCCGATTCGTCAATTCTGTCTCTCAGTTTGGCGGCCAAAAAATTACGGAAAAAGATCGAAATTTGGTCGGAATTCGGAAACCAATTGATTGTGTTATACATCGCCTCAATCTTCAATAGCTCGTCGGCCGACAAACGCCAGCCAATCATTTGCACCAATAACTCGGCGCAAGTGGGCCTCTGGTCGTACAGGGGCTCGGTAAGCATCTCCTGTATGGGCTCGTGGAGGCACCGGTATTTGTCCTTAACACCGAGGTGCTTTTCTATGATTGTTCTTTCAAATCTATTTTAATTCAAATTTAATAATTATTCGAAAATCAAATACGGTGCAACCTATTCATAAAGAACGGCCAGTTGCTCGGAAAAAGTGTTCCCTATAGAGAATGTTCCTCCAAAGGTAATTCTGTTATAAGTATAGAAAATTCAAAATATAGTTAAAATCCGTTCCTTGTAAGAAGATGTTCCCCCAATATGTGTACTAATTATGTGTATTGTAGAATCGTCAGGGCCATCGCTTTTTTAACCACTATAATCATTATTCTTATATGAATAATGTGGTTTATAGGATCGATCGGCTACCTTTCCCCCCATCCCCTCCGCTCTATGGGAAATAACATGGGATTACAGCTTAAGTCTATGGCTATACTTTAACATGGAAAAGCTCTCATAGGATTAACATGGGAATGCTTTAACATGGGTATCTACGGGATTACAGCTTAAGTCTATGGCATAGGAATAACATTTTAATTTTAATAAAAACCTATAATAAACCAAATTACGTCAACAATGAATTGCCAAAAATGATTTTTCTAAACCCATCAAGATTATTAATAATTATAACCAAAACTGGTTTTACCTATTCAGCAATGTTCAGTAATAATAGAATTATTTTATACAAAATCATTACCCATATGCATTGACTCCAAAGAGTTCGCTACAAATGAGTCCCAAACTAAATATATCGGACTTCAGGTCATAGTGTTTACTGCGGACCACTTCGGGCGCCATATAATTCTTGTCGCCTTTGGCTCTGGTGTGCGACTGACCGCTATAGCTGTGAAACGCGGCGTAACCAAAGTTACAGATCTTAACAAATTGTTGTCCATTATTGGTAACGTTGTTCATTATAAGTATATTTTCCGGTTTAAGGTTTCGGTGTATAATAGGTGTGTCCAAAGTGTGCAAATAGTTGAGGCTTTTGGTCAACTCCTCAAACAATTCATAGGCTATGAAGTAATCAATGAGTGCTAACACATAGACAACACTCGGGTCGTCGTCTGAGGGTTGACTGAAGAGTCGGTTTTTATCGTTTATAATATCCTTAAGATTATGGTCACAAAACTCTGTCTGAATGTATAGCCTGTGGCCCTCAATCCATGCGCTCCGGAACTCGACCACAAAATCTGTGCGTATTTGAGGCCAAAAACGGTACACTCTGTCAGCGTAATCATTGTTTTGATAATGTATCCCTTTTATAAAAACCATTTAAAATAAATTAATATTAATGCTTAAATAAATATAACTTATTACTTTTATTAAATATTTTAACAGCGTGTATAGTATTAGTTGATATATGTAACGCTTTAAATAGTATTCCAAATGAACCGGCTCCAATTATGTTTAATACTACAAATTCGTTTACAAATTTACCCTCGCTCATGCTCACATCGCTTATGGTAGCGCCGGACTCGCTGTAATCCGTTAGAGTGCTTTCATTTACTGATTGTTTTGATTCAAGTGTATCATCGCTTTGGGCAGAAATGATTGACCACTCATAATTGCACTCCCTTGCGCGCGAGTCAAGTTTACTAGCCAAAAGGTTACGGAAAAATGCATGCTCAAACTTCAATGTGTCGAAATGTTTTTCTATTGTCACCATCTCTTTCACTGATAGCCGCCAGTCTCTCATTCGTACCCGGATTTGGTCGCAATTGGGCCTCTTCGTGAAATCAGGTCCCTTTAGCATATCTTGTATTGGATTTTCCAGACATCTGTACTTTTCCACCAAATATTTGCTTTTTATTGACAATTCTAAACTAAAGTAGAAGTCAATTGAATTAAACAAAATGAAATGGCATTAAGTCCAGTAATGTATTTCTATAAGAGATTTAAAAGTGTGATATTAAATGGCTACTACAGTATATAGTAATGTCGCAAATTAAAACAAGGTCCACAAAGCGATGCTATACGTTAACAACAATTGAGATACTACTCACACAATCTACTATAAGTTAACCACAATTGGGGTGATACTCAAAGAATTGATTTCCATAAATTAATCTACAGATTTAATTAAGTTTAACCGAATGCCATAGATTTAGCATTGTCCATAGGATTAGCATTAGTCCCATAGATTTAGCATTACCCATGCTAACCCTATGCCATAGACATAAGCTGTAAACCCATAGAAATTCATGTAATCGCTTATAATCATAGCAAAAGTGTCCCCTATGTTAAACAAATGAGAGCATCCCCAAGTTAGGTTTAGCCATAGGATTAACATGGGATCCCATGTTATTCTTCATAGGGTGGGTAGAAAGGGGCAGAACAATTTTATAAACCACATTATTCATGCTGAATTGTGGTTAAAAATATAATAATAAAGTATGATAATTTTGTGATTACTGGAACTCATCTAAACCAAACAATTCGATGCAAATGAGGCCCAGATTATAGACATCGGATTTGGTGTCGTAATGCTTTCCGCGACTAACTTCCGGTGCCATATAGTTAACAGTTCCTTTATCTACACTATTCGATTGGCCTAAATATACGTATGGTTTGGCGTAACCAAAGTCTCCAATCTTGAGGAACTGACGGCCAGACGCGGCAATTGTATGCAATACAAGTATATTCTCAGGTTTGAGATCCCGGTGCATAATAGGCGGCTTTAAGGAATGCAAATAGTTTAGACTTTTGGTCAACTCCTCAAACAATTCATAAGCTATGAAGTAATCAATGAGTGCTAAAAGTCTTCTATCAATTGTCTGTCCAATGGATGCGGCGGAAGAAGCGCTAAAGTATCTATTTTTTGCGTCAATTATTTTCTTCAGATTATAGTCGCAAAACTCTGTCTGAATGTATAGCCTCTGGCCCTCAATCCATGCGCTCCGGAACTCAACCACAAAATCACTATTGATTTGTGACAAAAGTCGATACTCTGTTTCAAACGATTCCATGTTTTCATTGGTAATCACTAATTAAAAATTTAATAATATTAAAATGTTAATTTATTAGTAATGTTTAATCACCTTCATGGAATATCTTGATGGCGTGAATTGTGTTGGTTTGTTTGTGTCGCGCTTTAACCACTTTGCCATAACTGCCACTCCCTTTTTCACCCTGTAGTTCAAATTCATTTTTTAATTTGCCATCGCATTGTTTTATATTTGATATGTCGCTCATTATTAAAACATTATATGATGATAATAATAAAATTTAATTTAAAATTATTACAATTTATTATGATTATTTTTAATAATATTTTTAACCATATTTAACATACTGTATGGATACAAAATTGATTGCTATATAAAAACATGTAATAATATTTAGATAAGATTTTTGTAACCATGGTTTGTTATCTGTAGTCTAGATAGTTGTGTGTAATACAAAATGAATTTGTAAATAATAATAGACATAAAATTTAGATTAGTTGAATTGAATGAAATAAATTTACCATATACTAAATAAAATATTATAACTAAAGAATCTTGGTTATTTAATTCAAATATTATTTATCAAAAATAATAAGATATTTGTTGTGAAGTTAACTAATATTGAATTGATTGACTAATATTAATAATATATTCAGAATTATAACAATTATTTATTTAATTAATAATTTAAATCAATTATAAACTCCAGGTGTCGGTCCGGACCCTTACAGTTGTAGGGGTGGGTCGACGTCATAGACAACACCGATCTGTTTGCGGATCGCGTCCTCAATGCGGCTAATAGTGAGCGACGCCTCGCGTGACATAACACTGCTCTCCAATTGACCCGCTTTTAGACACTTTCGCACTTCATTCGCCTCATAGCACAGGCCTGTACTGCCGTACACTGTGGGCACT